ACTCCTAAACTGGAGAGCAGGGGCGCCTGGGTGGCTCCGCCGGTTGAGTCCCTGACTCTTGATGTCGGCTCAGGTCCTGATCTCCCAGTTTGTGAGTTTGAGCCCCCCAGCAGGCTCTGTGCTAACAGCGCGGAGCCTGCTTGGGATTCTCTCTCTCTGCCTCTCTCTCTGCCCCTCCCCTGCTCTTACTCTCTGTCTCTCTCTCTCTCTCTTTCAAAATAAATAAATAAATTTAAAAACTGGAGAGCAGTGGGGCAGAAGACACAGTGGGGGCGTGGGGGGGGGGGGGGGGGGACACAGCCCGGAAGTGACAAGGCAGGGTCAAGTGGCTGAGAGAAGTCGCTGAGATACTCAGGACAGCCCGGGCCTGATTCTGAGCCAGGTGGGGGCGGGGGAGAGAGGACACATAATAAGCCCCTGGAGAAACACAGAGCCGGGGAGACAGAGAGGGCAGGGGGATAGACACAGGCCGAGGGAGAGGCAGACAGGGACAGACACAGCGAAAGAGGGGGACAGAGTGGGGGAAGGGAGAATAAGAAACACAGACACGGAGTGGCGGCAGCCTGGTGTAGGTGCTGACGGGCCACGTGTCTCCTCCTGGTCACTCGCCGACCTGCTGTATGACCTTGCCCTGCCCTGACACCTGTCCTGGGCCACGTCTTTGCCTCGTACACCAGACAGGGTGCAGCCGACGCCCTGAGCAGCCCCCTCCGGCTCTGGCCGGGCAGGAGTGAGACCTGGGGGTCTGCCCACCCGCCCGTGGCCTGGTGCCACCCACCGGCAGGGGCAGGGCGCCCAAAGCAGGGAAGGCCCAGGGCCTCCGCACAGGCCTCTCAGCCCCCCTGGGCCGGTCGTCCCAGCCCTGACTCCCCAGGCCAGGGGTCACCCGGTTCTCCCAGCAAGTGCTAGAAATGCAGGCTGGGGGTGGGGTGGGGAGCACAGGCGCGGGTTCCCCTCCTCACCAGCTCAGCACCGCCCTCCCTGGGCCTCCCTTCCATCATCCATAAGGTGGGGTATGAGCATCCACTCCCAGGGCAGGCATGAGGACTGGGGCACGGTGGGACGTGAGTGCCGGCCTCGTAGGTGCTGGGTAAATTTTGGATTCTGTTCCCATCATCCCCACAGACCTAACGTCTACAGACTTGATTGTGGGGTTTCCCCCCAGCCAGGAGGTAGCATCCACAAGGAACTGCTTCCAACCCCCTGCCTGGAACCGTGTCTGGCATACAGGGGGCCCCCAATAACCACACGTTGAACGAACACACTCACGAAGGAAGGAGGGATTTCGCTTGCTCGGGTGTCGAATGAAGCTGCCGAGGGCGCATCCAGGAGCCGGTGCGAGCGAAGCCAGGCGCCTGGGACCGCGCCTGGCCCCCCGGGGGCGCGCAGAATAGCCGCCAGTTATTATTATCCTTATCAATAACACCGTGCAGGGCTGTGAGTCAGCAGCTGGGGAGGGGAGCGACGCGAGCAGGAGAGGGCTACAGCATCAGGCGCGCAACGTGTTGGAGCAGGGCTATTCTTGGGGTGCAGCCGGAGGCCTGTAATCACACCCCGGGCAGGCGACAATAAAATCTGGAGTTGGGTAGGGCTGGGCCCCCCCAACCCTTTTTTTTTTTTTTTTTTAGCTTCTCTTGAGCTCTCTCTACCAACTGCAGCCAGATTTAGGCAGCTTAATTAATTAGCTAGTGTTTATAAAGCGTTTGAAGAATTTTAAAAGTGGGACGTAAGTGCCAAATATTATTTTAATCTGTGTATATGTGTGTTTTTTCCAGCAGAGAGGGTTTTTTTTTTTTTTTTTCTCTTCTCGCTTGCCTGCTTTTCTTCTTCTCTGCAGGTTCTGTTCTGGGAACCGGGCTTGTTAAAAATCACTCCTGCGGTTCTGGGCCTGGGGTCATCGTGCTGGCATCGCGGACAAAACCATTTCCTGCTCTCCCCTGCCCTCCTGGCAGGGAGAACCACCATCCAGGGGCCTGAACCGTCTCCGGGAGAGGAGGGCGGCTGAACAGGCATTCTCACACGCTGCTGGTGGGGGTGGAAATTGGAACATCCTCTCGGGAAAGCAGTTTGGCAGGAAGTACCAGAGGTGTGAAAGCTGTTCACCAGCCTTTGTGGGGCTGTTCCATGAGGACATAACCCCAAACACGTGTGGGGTTCCCGCACGACGAGCTTGAAAAAGTTGGGGGAAAACCCAAACGGCCAATGAGAGGGGATGGTTAAGTGAATTACGGCCTACCCCCTACACGGAGTTCGCGGACAGAAATAAAAAGCCATCGCCGTGGAAACTGGTAATCTGGACAGTTTTGCATGGCATAATTTTAAATGATATTGTGATTATGCAAATAAAACCTGTTCACTGCAAAGCATTTAGAGACAACAAAAAAGTATAAAAACACAGTAATAATCTCCCAGAATACCAGCAAAGGTAACTGCAATAAGAGTGAATAAAATAGTTATAAATGTGAGTAAATAAAATGATGTGAAATCATACGCAGATAACTAAGGCTATGAGAAAACATTTTACTTCATTCACTCAAGTCTTCTTACAAAAATGAAAAATCAGAACTATCCTAACGTCCACGAGAAGGAGACCAATCGATCCCGTGACGGTGAATTCACATGACGACCAAGTTTGCAGCCGCTATAAATGATGGTGTAGAGGCACCTGGCTGGCTCGGTCAGTAGAGAGTGCGACTCTTGATTTCGGGGTCATGAGTTCGAGCCCCCTCTGGGTATAGAGATTACTTTAAAAAAAATCTTTAGGGGCGCCTGGGTGGCGCAGTCGGTTAAGCGTCCGACTTCAGCCAGGTCACGATCTCGCGGTCCGTGAGTTCGAGCCCCGCGTCAGGCTCTGGGTTGATGGCTCAGAGCCTGGAGCCTGTTTCCGATTCTGTGTCTCCCTCTCTCTCTGCCCCTCCCCCGTTCATGCTCTGTCTCTCTCTGTCCCAAAGATAAATAAAAAACATTGAAAAAAAAATTAAGAAAAAAAATCTTTAAAAAATGATGGGTTAGGGGCACCCGGGTGGTTCAGTCAGTGAAGCGTCTGACTCTCGATTTCAGCTTAGGTCATGATCTCCCGCCCTGCATCGGGCTCTGCGCTGACAACACGGAGCCTGCTTGGGATTCTCTCTCCCTCTCTCTCTGCCCCTCCCCCTGCTCATTCTCTCTCTCTCACTCTCTCAAAATAAATACATAACACGCTTTGACAGATGACGGCGCAGAACTACAATTATCAATGCAAAACTATATTATGAGATCAGAGTCACTCAGTAACATAGTCAGTGAGATCTCAGACGTCTAAGTTTTGAAAGAAAAAATATATATTAAAGGTTAGCGGTGGTTAATTCTGTCGTAGATTTACAAGGGACTTTGCTTTCATGTTTTCTGTTCGCACGACTTGTGCCATAAAAAAGTAGGAAAAACTATGCTTTCAGTACGATTATGACTTTGTAAAATAAAAGAAAACTGTATCTAAATAAACAACAGCAAGGTACTATATACAAGGCTGTAAAATGCAACTCTCTTTGGATCACAAATCTAAAACTGAAGGCTTTTTCCTTCTATTTTGGGTATGTTACTAGATGGATGTTAAACATTTACAGTATTCTATTTTGTAATAGGAAAAATGTACACGTGTGATACATGTATGTTTGTCATGTTACGTACACGTTTATTATTTAGATGAACCTCCCTTCCAAGAACTTTCCTTCCCTTTCCTTTCCTTCCACTGCTACTTTCCTCCAGCATCTGATACAGTGCTTGGCACAGACTAGATGCTCAACTAATCCCTGCAGAGGGGTGACTGGGTGGCTCAGTCAGTTAAGCGCCTGACTCTTGATTTCAGCTCAGGTCGCGACCTCACGGTTTGTGGGTTCGAGCCCTGTGTCCGGCTCTGCCCTGGTAGCAAAGAGCCTGCTTGGGATTCGACTCTCTCTCCGCCCCTCTCCTGTCCGTGCTCTCTCTCCCTCTCTCAAAATAAATAAGCATTAAAAAAAAATCTGCAGGGGCGCCTGGGTGGCGCAGTCGGTTAAGCGTCCAACTTCAGCCAGGTCACGATCTCGCGGTCCGGAAGTTCGAGCCCCGCGTCAGGCTCTGGGCTGATGGCTCAGAGCCTGGAGCCTGTTTCTGAGTCTGTGTCTCCCTCTCTCTCTGCCCCTCCCCCGTTCATGCTCTGTCTCTCTCTGTCCCAAAAATAAATAAAAAAAGTTGAAAAAAAAATTAAAAAAAAAAAATCTGCAGATAGTGACTGACCAATGGAATGTCTAGAGAAAAGGGTCTGCAACAAGAATCTCCATGATGCTGTGGTGAGTTACTTCTGGGAAAGGAGGCCAGTGGTTGGCACATTGTCTTTTTCGCTTCCTAGTCAACAATATATTGAAATCTGCTCCTTTAGCAAACATTTACTCCTTTTGGAAAAAAAATAAAGTTTTCTAGCAGGAGAAGTGTGCACAATGGGTGCTAACGGCCCCGTGTTATAGGAGGGACTCAGTGTCCACAGGATGTGGGGGGCTCACAGCATAGTGCAGGTCAGCGGTGAATGACTGGAGCCTACTGGGCACCAGGCCCCGAGCAAGGGCTGTGCAACGTCCCTGGGCCCACGGAGTCCGCACACAAGTGGAGAAGATACACTTCAAAGAAATAACTCCAATGATCACATTTGGAATGAGCCCCCGCCCTGCAGACAAGTGATTCCTGCTGGCCTCTCTGACCCCATCTCCCGCCCCCTCCCAGGGACCTGCTGCTTCCGCCACCCCAGTCTGTCTCCCACAAATAAGTGGTATGGTATGAGGATGGTATGAGGGAGGCCGTAGGATGGGGGCGGAGACCTGACCGTCGAGCTCGGAAAAATAGATTGGATTCTTTTTTTTTTTTTCTTTTTTTTACGACATTCCTCTATGGCTTTTGAGATCAAGCAGAGATGAAAACAATTTTCATTGGAAGTGAAAAAATAAGAATGGATGCTTTCTAATGGGAAAAACCAAATCAACGTAGAACTGAAACTTGCCTAGGGTTCCTCCCCAGCCTGCCTCATCAGGGCTCGAGTACAGAGCTGGGAGGTGCCTCGCCCAGGGACAGGCTTTGCCCACATGGGTGCTCACTGCCACTCACGTGGGGGCCTGCCCGTCCCCGGAAGCAGGTTTCCACAAACTCAAGGAGCCCAGGGGCCTGGGGGGCTACGGCCAGAGCTCTGGCAGGGCCCAGGGCTAAGTACCCCGCTAAGGCCCAAATAACACCCGGCCCCCACAGCGGGGTTGGAGCTCAGCAACCCCCTCCCTGAGGGCGATCGTCATCACCCGCCTTGGGGGACGGCTGCCGGTTTATGATGCCACACACACACCTCGCCGGGCGCTGCTTTTGGCATCTTCCGGGTTACGATTTACGGGCCGTGTGTGAGACTGTGCAGTGCGGGCGTGTGGAGGAGCGAAGGGGCAGACTCCGCTGGAGCGTGCACATGTGTGCACGAGTGTGCCCGGCGAAAGCACACATACTCACACGGATGCGTGCGTGGGCCCAAGGGGGCGGGTACAAAGGGAGCGTGGGCAGGAGGGAGCCACAGTGCTGCTCGAGAGTGTGTAGAAGCGGGGTGAGGGGGTGTGGCCTGTGTGCGGGAGAGTTGCGGAGTCGCAGGTGGCCTGGGTGCGCGTGAGCGTGGCGGCGGCGTGAGAGGGCATGTCTGTGCCCAGGGGGTGTGAGCAGATGTCGGGGGGAGGGATGTGAGCATGGGGGTGCTGGATGGGTGAGCATGGGGTGAGCATGGGGGTGTGGATGTGCCCGCAGGCAGGGGGGCACAGGACCAGGACGTGCGCATGGGCGTGTGCTTGTGGGTATGCACACTCTTGGGGGGGGCGGAGCATGAGCGCGATGGGAGCAGTGTGCATACGAGTGTGAACATGAGCGTGTGCGGTGGCAGAGTGCTAGGAGCAGGGACGACGGCGTGCGTGGGGACCACTGTGTGTGTAACGCTTGTGTGCCCACGTGCCCAGCTGTGCAGGTGCCGGCGTGAGTTTCCACACGCAAGGCTGCTAAGAGTAGGGGCGGGCTCCCCTGCCATCAGCTGCTGGTGGGCGACCCGGCGTGGCAGCTGGTCCAGGGTGCTGCCCTTGACGGGGGGCTTGAACCGTGCTGAGCACCCGCTTACTCCGTGCTAGCCCTGAACTCATGCCCCGGGGTAGGGAGCAGACGCCCCCTCCCCCCGCCCCCCAGGGCTGATCCACAGGGGGCCTTGCGTGGATGGCTGTGGATCCTACAGTTAAAGAGGGGAGCTCAGGGCTCGATGCCAGTGTGCTGGGGCTCCGACAGCCGCAGCGAGGCCCTGATTCTCTCTCAGGTGGCCCGATTCATTCGTGCCCTCTCGAACCTCACTCAGCTGCCAGGCCCAGTCCTAGACGCTACAGGACACAAAGATGGGTCCCTGTCCGTGTGGGGCAGAGTCCTGGACATGGGCAGTGACCACCTAGAGAGAGATAAGTGAGTGAAAAAGGGGCTTGGGGACGGGGTCTCAGGGCAGGGGTGGGACATGGGAAGACTCGCTGGCGGTGGTGGCCTCCGGGCTGGGCCGGGAAGGCTGACGGAGGCTGGGGAGAAGGAAAAGCATTCCAGGGAAGGGGATCCGCAGGAGCAAAGGCGCAGAGGAGAGGAAAGGGGTGTGCACAATCGAGCGACCGGAGCGGAGTCCTTGGGACACGCTCATTTGACCACGAGCAAGCTGGGATAGGGCTAGCCTGGGACTGCGCTAACCTCGCACCTTAAAGGATGGCTTCAGTCGCCATCTGAACAGCAGACCATCGCCGGGAGCAGTCCACTGGCACCGCTGGGCAAAGCCATCGGGCAGACTCCCCAGATGCCGTGGCGGGCACTACCAGTGGCATTAGAGCCAGCACAAATGGGGTGCACGTGGCCTTGTAAATAAAATGGGGGTGGGCCCAGGGTGCCCAGGGTGCCCAGGGTACTCTCTCCTCCACCCCCACTCCAGGCAATTCTGAGCACTGGGCATGGTGCCATATCCCTGCGGGGAGAGGGTAGACCCCAGCAGCCCGCTCCACGGAGCAGGGAAACTCCTGAGGTGCCAACAATGGGCTTGGGCTTGGGCTCCGGGGCCAGAAGACCTGTATGTCTCATCCCTACAGGGGTGACTTGGCAAAGTCACTCTTCTCCAAGCCTCCCCTTTCTCACCTGTGAAAAAGGGGGTACCACTGTCTCTCTCCCCAAGGCAGAGGGTAGTGGTTGGAAAACTGGACTGAGAACGGTCCCCCTTCCCCACCATGTCCTTGCAGCCCACCCACCAGCAGATCGTGCCAAGATCTGGCCAGACTCTGATCTCTTCTGGCCACCTTTCTGCACCACCTTCCCTTACCTGGATGCAAACTGACCTTCCTG